AGGGTTACACACACACACTCATGGATATGCATACTGACTTGATAGCGGTGCCACACGCCGGCCTAGGGTTCCATTTCCTAAGAGTACAGGTAGGGAAACCTAAAGAAGAAGAGGAGGTCCATCCAGCGGAGGTCCCAAAGGTAATCCACGAACGAGCGGACGACAGGGTGACGACGGTTCGAGGAGGTCAGTGAAGCTCTCAAGGTCCAAGTACTCGAGGAAAATCAACGCTGCAGTAGCCCTTTACTGAAGAAAACACCGAAGTAGACAGCTTGTCCATTACGTAGGTTCATTTCAAAGCAGGTACGTAGCTCCAGCGTCCCGGAGCTATATCACAGATGCAGCACTGGCGTCTTCGTTGGTGCCAGTCCAGTGTGCATCCCTGGCACCCCCTGCTAAAAGTTCAAAACAATCCGAAGGATCCCTATGATTCCAAGGGTTACACACACACACACACACCCGCGCGGGCGCGCGCGCACTGCTGTCTCAGGAGATTCCTGCAAATGTCCAAACATTGAGGTCTTGCACTGCTTGCACGTCCAAATTGGCTTGATGGAATCCTTGGTAGATCGTTGCTTCGTCACTTTTCTGACGACGCACTTAAAGAGCACACTGACTCACACACAGCTTGATGTGCGCGGCTTCGTTGGCAAACCTTGTAACCTTGCTCAAATGGCAAAGCATCCCCACAATTAGAAACTAACCCCCTCCCCTGTCAAGCAACTCCCCTTTGTTTCTGGGGTAAAGTGTGTTTAACGAGGACTGCATTACGTACATATAGATATGCATATTATGGTGATAGGCCAGCGTTGCTTTTTGTGAAACTCAGCGTCCCCGTAACCGTAGTGTGCCGATTCCAAATTTGGGATATGTGTTGCGGCAGGTTTTGATCTTCGTAGACGGCCAAATCAACATGCATATTACCACAGCATGGCAGAAACGTTTATGCTGCGAAGTTTCTGATACCTCTTTCTGGCTGCTCTTTCCATCCGCGGCCTTGCGAGCAGGAGATTTGGCGTCTCTTGCTCCGCCTCCTCCATGCACTCAAACAACCCATGAGATTCCTAAACATTCTAAAGTACTGTAAATCATCTGAAATCAAAAGCAAAGCACATAGCCAGTCCTTGGCTTCTCTTCAACTCTCGGCTGTCTCGTCGGCCAAACGCGCTGTCTGTCTGTCGAGTGCCATTCTCTCTTGGTTTTTCCCGAATGTCACGCCGTGAAGCTATGGTCTCCCGAGCTTCCCGTTCCTGAATCGGGCTGTAGGAGTGTCGCTCGTGGCGGTTCTGATCCGGGATTCTCCTCTCCCGCTCGTCTGCCCTCCGATCCCTGACTCTATCTCCGGATCGCTTCCTAGAATCTGAAAGCCTTCGTGGCTCTCTTCTTTGCGACACATAGTCCTTGGATGTTTGGATGCGAATGGTTTGCCAAAGGCAGTGCCGCATGGATCTTTAAGCATCACTCGTCACATTTTTGGGGGGGTGGAGCTTGGGCTAAGGAGCGCTTCTTGATCGACGACTTCGGCTGTGTCTGAGTTCCTGCCCAAAGGATTGCAAAATAAATATGGCTGGGTCTTTGCACATCCTGCGGTGTTTTTGTCCGATGTGCGGTCCTGCGATGATCGTCTTGGGCGCAAAATCAAGTGACGCCCTTGACCACGGTCCTCATGGTCCTCGGAGATTGCTTCGTCGTGTAGGCGTCTTCTAGCGGCGATAAGAAGGTACAAATTCTTGCCTTGACCGACCTTGTCGGAGCTGCAGCCAAGCAACCCTGCTGTCGCGGCTGTCCACACTTCGGCCCATAGGACGCCTGGAACACAGCAGCGCCGGGTTCCGGTATCACTTCTCAGCATTCAGTGTCCCTTCTCAGGGTCCTGGCTGGCTTTTCACAGGCCCATCTTCCAAGCGCAACCGGAAATTGCAATCTATGTTGCAAATTGACAGGATACTGGATACTTGGGATTCTTAAGGAGTGTTCGGTATCATAATATTCATTTCTTGAGGGTGTCTTTGTTGGTGTCCTGCACCTCAGTTTTGAGAGTCACAAGTGTGGCTGTCATTGCATCAAGCTCCTGCTCAAAAGTTGTGTCGATATATGATATAGACACATGTATATACATATACACCTTGCAAAGTACAGTATATTATCTGTGTACATGCCACCCACTGCTTGATCCAAGGACATGCAGCTTCTACATGGGTCTTTGCTCTAATCTCCAAGTCTATCCTGTGGGCTGAACAAGGAGTTTTGGACTGTTTGTCATGGCTTGGACTCAGGCAGGTGAACTTGGATCGATTGATCCAGCGTCTGGGCAACCATGGGCACCTCGGATGTCAGGTTCAGTTCTGCTCACTTGGGACGGGGTGATGACCTGGACATGACTCATGTGAGACACCATCTCTTCCCTTTTCCGTCCAGCACTTCATTGTGACACTATGTGAAACACCGCATTCATGGCAGCTGCCCTAGTTTGGTCGTCGCTGCTGCTCTTCGATCTGGTCGAGTTCCTCTTTGAACCTTGGCGTGCCATGCTGGGCGACTCATGTTTTGATAATGACTGCCTGCAAAAAACTACACTTCTAGGCTCGCTTAAAGAATGGATTAATGATTACATAAATCATACTCCGCATGCGCTGCCTATGGTTCGACACATGACACTCCGCAAACTTTTTTAGCACTCGAACACCGACTGGGCCGCATTGGCTGGTTGATATGCTTCTGCAAGGTCAGGAACCTTGACATCAACGTGAAAATCCAAGTGGTTCACATGAAAGAGTGTGCCATCATTCTTCGGCCACTTCTGCATGCCCAGCTCAAGCCATTGACGAGCCAAAGCCGCTTCAGCAGGCAGTGGAGAAGCTTTCTTGCCTTCTGCAAGGGTTAAATACCAACGTTGCAGCTCATGACCGTTTGATGCCAAGTGCTCAGCCATATCCAGGCTTCCCCAAAATCCTTCTAGTCCACACAGCTTGCAGGTAAGCTCGCAATAGTTTGCAAGCTGGAAATGTTCCAGCGCCTTGTGGCAAGCAATAACTCTTGGATTTCTAATCCAATCCTTGCCAGCGACACGGCGCTGAACAGCACTGGCAGCCAAAGAGCGAAACTTGCACGCAATTGCATTGTCCAATAGCCATAAACAGGAGACCGGTCGGTCGATGAAAAGGTTGTATGTGTGAGCCAGCTCAGCCAATGCTCGCATCCCTTCAGCCTGCTTCGGCGCCATTTTCTCTTGGCCTCTAAGGTACGTTACATGCAAGCGCACAAGTCCAGCCCCTTCGGGTGCAAGCAAGAACAAACCAAATAAACTGTGGGGCCCTTCTCGAGAAAAACGCCATAAAAGGCCATCTTCCCAGCTCTCTAGCGAGCTTCCATGAATTGCCTCTCGAAGTTGGATCAGCTTTTGAACGCTGACACTCGCCTTCAAATCAAATTGCCAACCAGGTGGTTCCATGACCCAATCGCGCCATGGCCCAGACATGGAGATACCACCATCAGCAGCCGCTCCAGTTGCTTGAATGTACGCCTCTTCTCGTGTGTGAGTGTGTGTTGGTGGGCCTGCGTTCATGCGACATGTGTTCATGCACAAAGGGCAACATGTGTTTGTGTGTGTGTGCATTCCAGGAACTGATATCTCTATGTGTCCAGCTATTGGTCCTAATATGGTGGAGGTGAGTCGATGGGTGTCCGTGCATGAGGAAGCGATTGCAAAGCTGGCACAAAGTCTGCTGATCAAGTTTGTTGTTTGCAACCCTTGCTTGTGTCGTGTGGCTAGTAAGCTCCGTTCTTTCTGAGCCAGTAAAGTGTCCAGCGGGATAAAAAGGATCCCTCGGCCGCAGTCTATGCCTTTCACATCGCTGTTTCTGTTCACCCGAATGTGTTCTGGTGAACTGTGTGAATCGCAAATGTCAACTGTAATGCTGTTGCTGGAAACAAATGCCAGCTTCCACACAGCATGCTACCAGCCAAGCAAGCTCAGGGTCAAGCTCAGTAAGGTCTTTGTCATGCTGATCTTCGTTTGCCTCGAACGTGCGCTGCCTGGCCATCTCCTGCGTGAGAGTAAGTGAGCTGTAAGTAGTGAGCTTAGATCATAGTCTGTTCATGTTCTGCAGGCTCAGAATTTGCATTGATAATCAGTGTTCTGGCTGGACGGAACTTTTCTCCTCCAATTGTTGTAGCTGCTGCCCAAACCTCAGTGAATTACTGCTGGAAAGCTTTGAGTCCACCATTGAGTGCAGTGCAGCAAAGGCACTCTCTCATCTCCGCATCACGCTCCTCTTCCTTTTTCTCCTCATTGATGGCATCACAATGGAACAAACATGTGTCTACAGCAAATGATGTTGCTGTTGACAGGTGGTGTCGATGTCCTGCTCCTGCTGCCTAGCTAGATTTACAAGCTTGGTGAGCGATTGGACCTTGGCACAACGAGGGCGAGCTCATGACTCAAACACGTAGCCTCTCTTAGGCACGGACTGATTCGTCACGCCTCTTGAGTTCTAGGATGGCTTCCTTACACCTTTCTTCTGCGTCTTCCTCAGTGGGCCCAAAGTCCACCAAGGCCAAGTCAATTCCTCTCAAAGGAAGGCTCGCAAAGGGTCCACTTGATCTACTGGCTGCATCTGCAAGGTGCAAAGCTGCTGCCCTCTAAATCGAGCAAAGAATCAGCCCTCTTCTGTTCGGTTTTCAGCCGGGCCAAGACCTGTTGGAGCAACATCATGTGCACGCGCAACTTGATGCTTTTGTGCCATCTAGCCTCCTCAAGGACAGCTTGTGGACTGCAGCACTGCACAGCTTGGTCACAACCTCGGGTCACCGTGGGTCGATGCTACGTCCCAAATCCTGCGCTTCGGCTCTTCAGGCCGCAAAATCCAAGACTCCAACATATAACACCATCAGAAATAGCAAGGGGATGCACCTCGCAGGTCATGGCAAGAACAAGAATTTAAGCAATTTGAATGACTGACATTGAATCACAACTCGAGGTTGTCCAAGTCGAATTGTCTTCAAGTGGCTGCAGTTCTTCGGGTCTCACCAACCAACAGTTCTGCCTTAGCCACTTGTCACAACTCACGATTTGTCTGAAGCAGCAGCCATGTGACCACCGTTTGGACAGAATGTTTCACCAAAAAGCCCAGGCACACTGGCTGCATAAACACTGAAATGGCCACGCCGTAGAACACTTTTGCCATTAATGAGATGCTCCTTAGAGTCACCAAATCAGTTGAAGTGGACCAATGCCAAGCCATTATGACCCCTCATAGCAGTGCAAATGGCAACGAACTATGGCAGGCTTCTGCCAACGCAATGAGAAGCTGTGTCGCCTCAATCGTGTGTCATCAAGAAAACGCTCTGCACACTGCACAATAATTTTTACCTGGTAGTTGGCACAGCTGCATGCAATGTATGGAAAGTCCCCCGCTGTTCGGCGATCACCGCCACGCATAGATGGATGCACCAGGAACTCCACCACGACACTACCAGGAGTTATGTCCACGATCTCGGCAACTCTTGAGGCTCCGTCGTCTCTTTCAGCCACATCTTCTTGAGGCTCCAGCAGTAATGACCCCCGACGGCACTTCTAACGCCTCGCACGACATCTCACCGTGTTCAGGTGAAAGCAACCGATGATGCTACAGCTGAGGCCCTTAATTCCTTGGCACTTCCGGACCTGGGCCACGCATTTGGCAAAAAGATGCCGAAATCTGGCAATGTCCTTGGAGATGGCGACCTCAGGAAACGAGCTCAGAAGGATCCCATTCACTCACACTAGACTCTGCTAAACTGCCTTGAACGTATTCTACACCTATGCTGCGGGAAGGCTGCAAAATCAGCCCCATGTATTATCATCCAACCTGGACCGTCTGGACACTGCACCAGGCTCGTCGGCTCATCCTACATTGAATTGCGCACCACTGCCTCTAGCAGGTTCCACTGCAGCTTTTGCCGCTTCCTTCTCCTCAATTTCCTTTTTTCGAATAAGAGACTTCTCCTCAAGCATCTGGAAAGGAAATCAAAAGGAATCAAAAGGACATCAAAAAAAACCCAAAGGAAAATAAAAGGAACTCAACAAGATTCAAAAGGAAATCAAAAGGAAATCATCATTTTGGCAGCCTTCACTCTTGACTTCAAACCACCAGTCCTTGAGTATCTCAACGGCCTTTTCACGGTCCTCATCCTGCACTGCTACACACGCTTCAATTCTGTGTGAGCACCCTTGCTCCCTGAAGGAAACAGTCATGTATAAATTTTCCTGCATGCCATCAATATGGTCAAGCATTATTGATCAAAAGGTTAATCAGCACAACCGTTCCCTCACTTCGTGCAAACGTCTGCGAAACTGTTGGGCTGTCTATTCCAACAAATCTTGCTCTGTCGACTGTCTTGCCTCATCGTCACTCTGCATTCCTCCCAGTAGTGCCTCAGTCTAGCCGCACAAAGCACGGATGGGATACTGAAATACGTTTGCTATGCCATCTGCTTGGGAGCCAAGTCAAAACAAAGGCAATTGAGTCGAGGCACCATGTGAGTCAGTTCGGCTTCTGTCAAACCCCGATTTAGCTGCCGCACTGTGCCAGTCGCTGGTCTCGAGTCCTTCGTTTCCTTGGATGCCAAAACACGGCACAACAACAAATACTATATATCCAATGCCAAAAACCACCGTCGGAATCTTTCACTCTTCAATGTCCGATTCTTCAATATGGGCTGAGAAACAACAGCAGCTTGATCCCAGTCTGGAGCGGGAGGAGCTACACAGTTTGGAGGCGGATCCTGACCAATGGGCAGCTCGTCATACAGGAGCCTCAATGCACAAAACATTGACTGAATCAGCATCCTTAGTGGCAAATGTAGATTGCTGGTTATCTTTGCTCGCCTGAAAGTTGAACAAATTTCATCCACCTCGTCTTGGCCAAAGATGCGCTCTTCTTTGAAGGTGGCCTCAAAAGAGTGTGTTGCACTATTGCGCTGAGCCATTCAGCGGTCAATCATCAACCTCTATCTGCGGTCCATGCAGCCTCCGAACCAAGGCGATTGACTGCATCACGGTATAGCGGCAGCACATCTGACAGTTCTTCCTGCATCGCCTTCAGTTTGGGTACACAGGTCTGCTTCTTGCTTCGTGAACCCTGAACTGTAATTCATCTTGGTCGAAGCTATTAAGACATCTTAAAACCAACACTGACTGAAGGTGAGAGAGAGAGAGACAAAGGAGACAAAGTGGGGGGGTTGAGCACAAACGTTGTGTTGAAAGAAGCACCAAGTCACGGCTGCAATGTCCTTTGCACGGACCGGTGCACCAGTGCATCGCCCAAGGACTTGAAGTGCCAGCGTGGCCTCAGAGAAGCGGCAATATGACAAAGTTCTCTTGAGATGCAAGCGGCAATATGAGTGCTCTTGCTGCTTGCCTGCGTCTTTCGTGTCAAGTGCCCAAGGAAATCACCCGACTGCACAAAAGTAGTCCATTGTCCAGGAGCTTGCACCAACATGTACGTGGTCGTAATACCCACTCTACTCTGCTCACACTAACATCACACTAACATCTTACCATGTTGAAATATGTCGTCAGTCCAGTGCAGATTACAGTCTGATGATGTCTGATGATGTTTGATGCAAATCTTGTATCAGCTATGCTATTGTCAATCAATACAGCTAGAGTAGATTCTAAAGGTTCTTGGACTTGGGCCCTCTTGTCTACCAACTCTAAGGCTACAATTGTATGTCTGCTATACATACTTCACATGTTGCTTCGGCTCATTGTTTGCGGCCCAGCCACAAAGTTGGCGACTTCAGCAGCCGTGCAGGTGCCACTGTGCGAGTTGTCGAATAGGGTCATGAAGAGCTGCGCGGGGACAATGTCAATCAATTTCACTGCCACCATTACACGCATGAGACTAAGAAATGCCACAGGCGGCGGAACCGATGAGCGGGTATGGGTATGGACAAACAAAAGGATGCTACTTGCAATTCAATCACTTCTGCATACCTCCGCTAGATAAGTGCAGTTTAGGAACACCACATTTCTCTGACAGCTTCGACGAGCTAAATAGGCCTGAGCTTCCAAAACTGTGCCATCAAAACCTTCTCTAGAATCTGTCAGTCATTCTGTGGAAAATGCAGCGAATTGGTGCCGCTGAAGTGCAAACCATCACCAGGAGCTCTCGGCTATCGATCAATGCCTCAGCTAGTTGGCAGTTGAAACCTTCAGGAAGAGTCAAAACCTAAAAAATACATGCAATTGATTTGACCAAGGAACGTTCTGCTGACTGAAGGCATCAAATATAAAGAGCAGATTGAATTCAGGGAGGAAAAGAATCCTCGGGCATGACTAGTTTCCGTTTCTGTGGTAGTTCTTCCACAGAAAGCAAAATCAGCATAAACCGCAAATTGCCTTCCAAGAGTCTCTTGCAACTCTTCGTAGCTGATCCAACCACAGTTTTCCACGTCTATATTCCTGTACCGCCTCCAAACAAATGATGATTTCACGAGGGCCAGCACCATAATAGACACGCGAAGCAAACCATGAATTGATCCCTTTTGAATACAGTTATATACATTTGTTGGGATTGCGTCCGCTATTTAAGGGAGGAACTGTTAAAAGAATAGGCCGGCTCATCGAGACAAAGGGCTAATCAAGCATTACAGTATAACTGGCCTGTAGACTGCCCAGACATCACCTTAGCGACTTAGTGCAAACAGGACTGAACAACAATGGGTCCAAAACATGAAAAGGGTAGCCGATCAACGTATCTACTACAACAAATTGGCGAGGATGATTTCCCCTGGGCCCCACCCAAGCGGGAAAAGAAGCTGTATAACATATATATATACAGTATACGAAAAAGTGACAAAGTTTTAGCTTCCGTTTGCACGACATGTGGCCGTTGTAAAACGCTCCGAAGAACCGTCGCAGAGTTGGTCCAATGTCACGCTGCGCCCAGGCGCTGCCTTGAAGGCACATCCACACGGCAGTTCACCAAACAAATCCCAATTCGGGAAATGACAGTTGCTCAAAGGGAATCACGTTTTCAGTTTGCTTTTGAACTTTTCATCCAGCCTGGTGCGACACTCGGAACCGCTGATTGGATTGAGCGGACCTCAGGGTTCAAAAAGCTTGATGTTCGGATCGGCCACGCCAGACAGAATCGGGTGCAACCCCCGAAAGTACAAAGGCCATGGCAAAGCCAGCACCCATTGTAGTTTTGGCCTCCATTCGATGGCGGCGGCGGCCAACTTTTGCGGACAGTGGGGAACAAATTTGAACAACTTGGAAGTGCAGTGGAATAATGCTGTTCATTGCTTTTCAGCTGCTGTCGGCTGTTTTTGCCTTTTTCGAGCTGTTGGAAAATGGTAGCAATCTTCCTGCCTGCAGTTGGCTTCAAATCATGACTAGGACGCAGGGAGTGAAACACAAGGCGGAGGAATCCTACAGGAAATGCCTACAGAATTTGCAGTGAACACAAAAGTGTATATGCATTATGTGAACACACATGTAGCATGCAGCATGAATAGTAGCTTAGTTATAGTGTATGTAATTATACAACTGATATGTATGTGAGGGTCTGGTGCATATTGAACTTCAACATCCTCAGCTTTAGTCCATTCAGTTGGGAGACGTTAGCTTCTGTCACTCAGTCTGGTAGTTTGGTCATGGGCGTTATCGTAACCTCTGAGCCAATTGTCCGCTGAACCTTGCACCGCACTCCCTCCACGTCTTGAGCCAAACAGCAATCATCGTTGCAATGGCAAGCAGTGGATGATTTGTGCCCGATCACTTGACAAGAAACCCATGCCAAAAAGCGTGTGGGGTTGAAGCCTCTGGCTTGGGCCAGCACCAAGCCAAAACGTGCAATTCACCGCCGGGGGCACAATTCCAACTACAACAGTACAAAAGATGGGCTGAAGATGGCTGAAGAATGCATTCAAGACCTGAAGCCTCGGCCTGCTTATATTTGAGAATATGTTTGCTGGGCCAGGGCCTCAGTGCGGTTCCAGGGAACTATATAATTGTTCTGCTATTCTGGCTATCTGATTATCTGGGAGTGAAGTGTGGCCGTGAGCGCTTGCTGCAGCTTGCTCGAGCCTAATGGCACCGTGAGCGGCTAATGTGTCATCAAGGTTGCCAATGGTCACGGCCGACCAAAAGTCTAGAAGTTCTCTCAAAAATCCTGGACGCAGACGCATACTAGCTCGCACCTGAGATGCTAGCTGCATTGGCTCGATGCATCCATGAATTTTTGGCTTTGCCAAAATGAATGACCACTGTGAAACCATTTACACCTACATTCTCAATGCACAAGGCCTTAGCTATGTGCTGCACTGTAGCTTCAGAAGGCCTAGAAGGACACCCGGCTCAAGTTCAAGGGCGGCAACTTGTTGAGCACGTCTTCACTGCCTTCGCCGGTGCCTCTCTCCGTCTCATCTTCAATCTCTGGTGGTTCATCCTTTGCTCTGCTAGCTTCCCCAGCTTTCCGGATCTTGTCATGGAATTCCGCCAGACTTACAGATTGTGTACTGTTCCGGCGTACATTTGATAAGACTCTTTCGTTGAGCTCGGAGGCTCGCTTTCTGCCAGCTTCACGCTTGTCATGAGTTTCCAACTCCTTGGTTGTTAGGGACTTTCGGCGGTCAGCCACTGGTCTTTTTGGTGCCCTCGCTGTTTGAGGGCCTGGGGCTGAAGACATGTACGCCGGATGTTCAGGAGCTTTGCGGCCAGCAGATGGCCGCCATGGTGTTCGCTCCTTTTTGTCACCTACTTTATCAAGTTCAACCGTTTTCTTTCGACGCAGGAAAACAAGAGTCGGCTTGGAAATGCCTTTGGGTGTCTCACTCTGACCCTGCCATTCTGGAAGAATATCGTTGCTCGTGAGGACTGGGAAGGCACGATCAGAAGCATAGCGGCTTGCTCGTTCCGCCCGGTATGCGATTCGATGCTCAATTTCGGCTGTCTCTTCGCAAGTGTTGTCTCTTTGCTCTTCAGATCCTTCGATCACTTTCTTTGTCCCACGGGTTTTTTTGGGCTCTGAGGACTGGAAAACCCCCACGAAGTATGTTTTCACAACTCTTCGGGGGCTCGTGCGCCGAAGAGGTAATGTTGGAATCGTCGGTGGCAGAAGGCGTTTAGTCCTCCCATTGTTGTCTCTGATTGATGCCTCTGATTGTAAACGAACCTCGAATAGTTTTGAAGCATCCGTCCCACCACAATAGGCAGGGGAAAACTCAACCATCTTTCCCCTCACCACAGGCTGCAAATGCCACCATGTGAAGCCATGGCACCAACGGAACAAATCAACTGAGTGACTAGCTCCTTAGCCGGTGTTGCTACTGGCTACATTATGGCATCGTCCACTCACTACTCCCACTCTGAACGCATCCTTCCAACGGGTGAGCTAATGCAAGTTCAAGGGTAGGTGAAACAATGGTTGGTCAAGTATGTAACCAAGTCTTGTTTACAGACCATCATTGCGACCTGCTGCTCAGAGGCTGCGGCTCAACACATTCAACCACAATTGATGGGGACAAGATTCTCGATTTGTTTAGTCATGCTTACTCATACACATCAGCTTTTTGCAAGCCCATCAGCAAACCAGCATAGGTGGTTCGCACCTCACAGTGTAAATGTGTCGAACTGAAAGGCTACATTCCATGACGTGCTCAACAAGCCTGAAACACATGGGGGGCTCATTGAAGCTCAGCTGAGACTTGGAGGGGTACTCTGTGACAGGAGGGCCTCCAGCGACACACCTGAGAAACATTTGCTAACGAACACAGGGCACGGCGACTTGCCAGATGAAGAACATGCCAGTGCGACCGTTGTTCGGCAGCTCGGCTGTCGACATGAGCAAAGACTCGCTGACCTCGGCACAGAAGCCGAAAGAGTTCCGACGAGACAAAGGAACTCTGTAGGAAGGAGCTTGTCTGGGATGTCTAGTGCTCAAGCGCAAAAAGGTGGAGCCTTCTCAGATTATCCCAAACACCTATTTCCATCTCTTGGACTCTTGGCCTTAGCAATACATCATCAACACAAAGAGAGAGAGAGAGAGAGAGAACTATCTATCGATATCTATGTGTCTATGTGTGTATTTCTTAATAGCTTTTATTTGCAAATTGGAATTAAATAATGTACGACGTACGAGTCACAAGCAAGACGCTTTCGGCGAACGTAAGAGGAAAAAGGATAGCTTCTTTTTCTCCTCGCTTAAACAAAAGGGAGAAGTCTTGGAGATTTGGCACTGGGCTTAAAGCAATTTCCGGTGTTGCGCCTGGCCATGCCAAATGTCTCCAGCATGAAGTCCTAAAAAGGCTGAAAAATGTGAGCAACGGCTGCACCATATATGTTGTTTGCCTCTGAGCACCTTGCCCAGTCTTTGGAGCGTCCTGCGAAGTGATGCAGAACTGCTGGCCTCATTCTGCAGAGCTCAACCTGACCTGTTTGGCTGGAGCTTTAGGGTCCTGGCTCATTCAAGCCACGGGCACCCACCACCTACAAACAGAATGACAAACTCCCCAAAAATTGAACAAAATCCTCAAAATCTCTGTTCTTAGGACCAGGCGTGATTGATGTCAACCAATCGCGGATCTGCAAAGTGGAAAAACGTGGAGCGCCGAGCGCCAAATGGTCCCTGAGCAAATTCAACTATATTTGTATATATATATATATGTATACAGTATATATCCCTCCGTTTTCGGGGTCTTGGTTGCTATGTTGTAATGTGTTGTTTTACTGTAGCATGCTGGGGGGTAGGCCATGAAGAAGCTTGAGTAGCCAGCAGTAAGGTGTGAGCAGCTAGCCTCCTAGCTACTAGCTTGACTACTCAAACCAACGTGATCCAACGTGTGTTTAAGAGAGAAATTTAGCAGCAACACAACAAACAAGACTTTGCTCCCCGCTGCCAGGCGCTGGCAGATGCGCCACCAACACATGGCATAGAGTGCAATCTGTCAGAGCTTCCAGAACATGAGTTGGAGCTGCACAGCTTAAGACATGTCGTGCAAAGAATCAATTTTGGAATTGCGGCAAATTGTGCACAACTGGATTGATGGCCCGATGGCCTCGTGGTTGCCCTTTGCATTTGGCCAAACATACTGTGCACACTCAGAATCGTAGCCTACAACTGCTCGAGAGGTGGCGGATGAACTTGGTGGGGTGACTTTGTGGAAGAGTTGTGGTCTTTATGACTTGTGCGCCTTCATCTCCTCGTGCAGTAGCCTGCATGGAGCAGCAGACTGCAAGGCCAATTCCATACACTTCAATCGTGGTGAGGTTACAAGGGAAGGCTGAAGGTGCCTTAGCGGTGAAGTAAAATGTTGATGGTCAAAAATACAAAAACATAACTGTCCCTGCAATACAGCGCCTCCAAACCTAGGATCTCCAATACAGTCTCGTCAAAGGCGCCCTGATCTTTTTCAATGTTCTGCATCCATGCTGCCTGAGACGGAAAAGAGAAAGAGTGAGACATGTTGACTTAAGGACACAAAGAAGAGCACTAATCTCCTAGTCGCACTGCCTTCTCCAGCAGCAGGTCGAGGAAGAAATGACCCCGTGGCGAGGACCGAATCATCACCACCTGAAGGAAGCATCCAAAGCATCCAAGTACATGTGGATCTGAAGCGAGATGTGCTAGAAAGCACGTCAGGTCCCAACTCCATTATTCAAGGTCTGCGGTTTCCCGAAGTCACGCGTAGCCACGTCAGGCGAGCCAAAAGCTCCACCTGAAACAGCGATCTCTTCCCCTCTCTCAAATCTCCTCCTGGCCCGCTGCCTGACCAAGCTCCAAGTACTGCTGGAATAGAGATATTCCAACCTGGCTGATGGAAGGCGAATGAATGAGTGAAAAGCTTGTCCCTGGCCCTTGTTACCACACAGGTCCCCAGTCACTTACCTGACATCACTATAGAAATAAATCTACACATACAACGCTCTAAGCTCTCAGCACTCCGGCACAATGAGCTGGTCAGGATCAACTACCAGCAGGGCCTATTCAAGTGAACACTTATGTAAATGCTTGAACCCGGCATGACCTTGACAAAGAACACCAAACCTTGTAGTAACTCAGGTACTTCTTGGCCTCACAGCATCTCACAAGTCTCTTTTGCAATTTGGAGCTTCAACACCTTTTGGACTATGTCATGTCAATCAAGAACAAGGCAGTAAACCATCTCAACCAATTGGGAGCACGATGATGTGGAGGGCTCACCTGGCAAAGTCTGCAACGCCAGTGTGCGCGGGAACCCTCCCAAGCTACAGCCTCCGTGTCATCGGTCTCCAGAATGAAAGCTAAACCATGTCCTCACAAGCTTTGGGAAAGCTAAACAATGTACGAAATTGAGCAGTTACCCTTATCAATTTAAGGAAAAGGCGAAGTGCGTAGCAGCGCCAGAGGTTCAAGAATGGCTGGTATGCATGTATCCTCGGCATCACGTTGCCCCTTTGCCCATCCCCAAGCATCCCGGTTGATCTTATACAGCTCATTGTGGTCAAGCCTACTTATCAGACTGTGCCGCAGGCTTGTTGGGCGTTGCCTGAGAACAACGCCCCAAGCACACGACAAAACACAAGTTCAGAGAGTGAAGCACAGCCAGAAAAAGCTGCAGGCAGACTCTTCATCAAAAGGGCGATCGTCATCACAAGTCTTTCTGCGAGCTGTGGACATATCATCCACAGCTATCAAAGGCCCTTGCTGCCGCTAGCACGGCCACCTGTTCCCTCACTTGTCCAAACGAGCCGGGTCCTCGCCGAGCTCAAAAGAGAAACATTCAAAACGTGTTTATTTTAAGCCCGGGGGAGTAGGTCGTAGAGGGAGGTAGTAGCTAGACGCAGGATAGATCACACTTCTTCAAGGAAGCTCCCCCGCCTGAGGGCGCGGGGGAGCTTCCTTGAAGAAGCGCTCGCACTATTCATTTGGTTCAAGTGTGCATTCTCTCAGGCCTTCGCCTCTATAGTTTGAGTAGGAAGGCCAGGGAAGCCTCGCTTCCGGTTCATGCATTGACGGAAAAGTCTCTGTCTGTCAGGTTCCAGCTGTAGTTTCTTCACTTCTTCACGTCGCACCTGGCCCCAAAGAAGCTTCAAAGACTCAAAGACATAAAAAGCTTCTTGTTACTAGTAGCGATGGCCTCCAACCTAATAGCGATGGCCTCCACCTAGTATCTCTTGTTACTAGAAAGTTTCAAAGACCTAAAAAGCTTCTTGCCACTACAGGTGAAACAATTCCCAGTGAAGCGATTCCCAAGGAAGCTTCTAGTTACTAGAAAGCTTTATTACTAAGAGAATAGTTTCTGCACTGCAATAATCTTGCAACTCTGCGAAATTCATCGGCCTTTCCGCACTGCTCACGTCGTACATGTATCTCGGTCATGGATCAAAAGAACAAGAATGAACAAGAATAAGACAAAAAATCCATGGCTGCCGGACCAGCTCTCCAAAACCATCCACCGAAGCCTCTGGGTTGGGAAAGGTCAGCTTTACCTCTACACATACATCGGTCAACTACTAGATGCACGATTGATTCCAGTGTCTGATTGGGCTGGGTGCATTGTTTCTTGGTTGCAAGCCCACGTCGACTCGTCGCTTACATAGTTGAAAGCCCGCACAAGCCTTGGACTGGTGGCACGGCAAGCCTCTGTGCACACACCAAACACTTCCCGGAACCCACTTTCGGAGCTGAATGGTCACGTGCCCACAGAACTTGTCCCCCACTAACTGCCGAGGCCACCATGTTTCGTAGGGTCAGGCATCAAAAGTTCCAGGTCCTATATGTGTATATTGTATATATAGATATATAGATTTTTGTACGTTCTCCCGTGGGCACACGCAAGCATCAATGGCCTTATGATGTTTTGTGTATCGACCCTTGCCCAACACAGAAAATGCGTCGTTTCCTATAGCAACGCGTCAAAGAGATATCTTCCCTCGCTCTGCTGCACTGCTCCACCTCGGACGACTCCCAAAGGCACCTTGTATCCAACTACAACAGGTATACTCTTGGCGTTCACCACATCTCAGTGGCAAACAGTACCAAGCACTCTGTTCCCTACACTAAGCAAACTATCGTAAGAAGCTCCCCGTCAACCAACCTGATACAGTAACTCTTGACGAGGGAATCAAGCATATATTATCAAGCAGGTGGAAAAAGAAAGAAAGAAAGGCAAGGGTCCGCATCGCCGTGTTTTAGGCTCTGTTTTGAGAGTTGGCTGTGCCAGTGGAGGGTTCTTCACAAGGACTTCAGCCTGAAGGGCTTCCAGAGTGTTAGTCTGAGAGCTACCTTAGAGTGCCATACAGTGTGTGAAGAGGGGGCATGTGTGTGTGTCAGCAGAATCAAATGCCCAGCTCTGTAATTTTCAGCTTCGGACAAGAGTAGTGTCTGAGTGCATCGAGCAGTCCCGTCCAGCTCAGCAGTGAGACCCTGAGACCACTGGAATACAATTACATCTCGAATCCGGAGCCACCGCATGTTGAACCATGTGACCCTCTCCAACTCTCTAGTCAAGTCCGAAAACTGGCAGCCACTGCATTCTCTTGGACAACAATATTCAATCTGTGGCCTGCAAAGCAAGGACCATGGCACATGCCTGGAAGAAGCATGCCAAAAGACATCCCAACTCTTCAGGAATCATTTCCCGTGTGTCGTGCCTCGGGGCACTGCTCACAACCTTCCTCTTTAAATGCCCAGCCAACAAGGCCCTCAGACCTGCGAGGCACGGCTTTCTGTCCTAAGAACGCTCAAGTCAACTCACAGCGCACAGGGACACGCATCCCTTCAAAGACTCAGGAGAACGATCGTGCAAAACCTCAGCACAGGTTTGTAAGGAAGACGCAGCTGAGGCATCGAGGTCAAGTATATAAGGAAGTTGCCGGTGCGTCTGCCAAAGCCAAGTCAATGGCAAATCTCGTGGCCTGGGAAGATTTCGGCAAATTATCAGTGGCTTTGCAATCTTACCATTTGAGAAGGAAAGAGGTGGACGAAAGGTAGGTAAACAGGCACGGGAGGGCTTCTGAACACCAAAACTGCTTGAATAGGCAGGTGTTGTCATGCCAGCAGCAGCAGTAGCAGTGGCAGCAGTAGTAGCATCAGCAGGCCAGCAAACAAGCAGTAGCAGACCAGCAGCAGACCAGCATCCACTAGCAAACTTTGGAGTGACCGTGCGGCAAAGGCGTTTTACATCTTTGGGATCCCCACTTTTGGCAAGAATAGCTGGGCCATCCAATGCGGCTAGGTTTCATGAAACCCTCCGACCCAAACAACCCACCAAACAAAGAGGACCAAGCAGATTTGATCCAGGCGGTGGCACCACCTCCAAAACTGCAGCACAAATTGAAGGCACCTCTGCACATCCGCTGATGACATCGGTGCCAATTGCGCCCTGAGAAGTGGATGAAAACTCAAGCTAATCCTGTGGTTTTTGCGACCCCCACCTCTCCTCCCAAAGGAGCCCCGCAAGAAGCAAGGCACCTTAAGTAGCCACTTGCCGCAGCCGTCTCGCTACACCAGATTGTTCTGGTGGCCAGCCATCTCCCGACAAGTGAAAGGCACGGGAGATGGTAGCACAATGCGAAAGGCTGCGGCAAAAAAAGGAAATGCATCTAGAGCGACTGCCGAAGTGCTTTCCAGGTGTGCGCCAAGGCACCCCAGCGGTAAGGCTGGGAGCAAGAGGCTTTGGCCCATGAGGCATGGCAGAACCCTTGGGGCTTCTGAATTGACTTGAACTGATTCAATGTGTGGTGCCTTGCATGTTCAATCCTCACACTGACACCCCTGTTGCATGCTTCGTTGGTGCTATGACCTACTGTGCTTTTGCCGCTTTAAATCGCACACCATATGTGCACAAATCAGGCTTTAACAAATCTTTGTCCTTACACTGAAATGAAGGTAAGGTAGTTGCTAGGCTCCTGCTGCAACAAGCAAAGGCAACTGACAAACATGTGGGTGTGGAGTCACACGGAGGGAGCCTGCAATAATGAGTGTAATGATTATTCAATTCTTCTTTGATGCCATGACACCCTTTGGTGTCGTCGGCGCACAAGGACATATTACATAAACAGAAATATCACACAACAAGTGCACCCCATTAGCAGGCTCTACTCAAATTATAGCGAAGTAGAAGCGAGAGGCGAGAGGTGCAAAAGCACCTTGAAACAAAATACTAGCTTGGCACGAACACCCCAACTCTATTGGTGGCTTGGTCGCATACGGGGTGGAAGTATATCCAGGCATCTTTCAAAGTCTCAAACATCCAATGGCCTAGGGCGACCAGGTCTCCGAACTGCGGGGAAGAGAATACTATTCCGCGCATGGGATCTCGGTTAGGAGCCCGAAAAAGATTGCCCAAAAGCCTGAGTCATCTCTTTTTTAATGTGCCACTGACCGTTTGCATAGGTTTGTTTCCAAGCCTGTGACAGTTAGCTTCGTTGAGAACGGCAGCATTTGACCAGGACCTATTGACGAAGCTACAAGGGATATTCAGCATTCTTCGGAGACCCGGTTGTTGAAATGCATTCAGGCGTGTGAGGTGAGCATCATTAAGTTGGATAACTTCTAGACTCTAGACCATAGGTCAATCTAGA